AAGCTGAGGCAGGAGAATTGCTTGAACCTGGGAGGTGGAAGTTGCAGTGAACCGAGAGCATACCACTGCACTTTAGCCTGGAGGACAGAGCAAGACTCTGTCTCAAAAAAAAAAAAAAAAAAAAAAAAGTATGGCTTAAATGTGCTTTACTAGTTCTTAGACGTCATGGGTCTCTTTTTCAGACCCCTCCTTCCCTCAGCTTAACAAACAGGAGTTGCAGTTTCTAGCTTAGATTTTTGTTGTTGTTTGGCTTAGCTCAGCCAGTTTCCCCCAGTCTTTGCTCTCACTCCTTCTGAATCTAGTGATGACACTTCTCATGCTTCATTCCCTTTAGATATTTTCTTTTTTCTAGAAAGGAGTGTGTCTAGAAAGGATGTAATTCAGCTAAACTAGTTCCCAGGAGCCCTGTGCACTCCTCCTCTCAGTTCAAAACTTAATTGGTGCCCATCTGACAAGGGCAGCTGCCCCTCAAGTCTGGGGTTCAGAGTAGTCTAGCTCACATGCCATTTGCCAAGCACCTAATATGTGCCAGGCACTGTGATTGGTGCTAGAAATACAGAGATGAAAGTATTCCTGCCGTAGGAATTCAGGGTCTAGCAGAGGATACAGACAGAAAAGCAATGTTATAACACAATGGATTAAATATTAAGATTGCCATACCTCAGGTGGGAGAGTGGGTAGGGTGGTAGGACTGAGGATGGAGGGTAGGGGAATCTGTCTCAGAAGACCGGATGTGCACTAGACTCAACTGAGTCTTAGGACAAGAGTAGGAAGAGTCAAGATTTTAGTCATGGCCATAGAATGGACACCAATGAAAAAGATGTGAACAATGGCCCAGAATTCTGAATAATGCTTTGGGTATGTGGAACATATACATTACCACTAGGAGATAAGGTGCAAGGCTGGGAGAAGCAGTAGAATTAGCTAGAGATGAAACTGGGAAATTTCCCTTATCTTGTCAAGCCCATGGGGCTCCCATCATTTCCTAACCCCAAAGCCAGGGGAGGGATTCCCAATATCATTTTAAGTCATCAGGGAGAAAACACAATGTCTGTGTTACTTGGGATATAAACATCTCCCCTGGGTGTCATGCAAGAGAAAGGTGGATGATGGTCATAGCCTTCCATGATTGAACAAGCTCCATCCTCTTCTTCATTCTCATCGTTAATGGCTCCTAAAGTTTTGCAGTGACCTGGTTTGATGTAGTTGATAGACAAATGCAGAAATATTCCCCATCACCCTTTCTTGAACAAAGGGTCAGGTTTTTTTTGGTTTTTTTTTGTTGTTGTTTTTTTAACAGAGTCTAGGAAATTTCCATTGAATGGCATATCTCCCCTGGGTCATTTAGGAATTTTTTTTTTTTTTCTTTCTCTATGGTCTTACTTTCTCACTGCCTGATTAACCTCTCTCCAAAAAGCACTGCTGCTGGCTGGGCTCCTGATGTTCAGATTAATTCTGATGCCTAGATTAGTTCTCATCTGAAGATATCTCCATTGGAAACTAAAGTTATGCACGAAGGATCCCACCCTTCAGCAGAGAGATTAGTTAGAAACCAGTGACATCAGCCTTCTCCCTCCCTGCCCTCAGGCTAACACCAGGAGTCAGGGAAGGTAGGGATCTGAAAGAAGAAAACTGATACTTTGTACAAAAGTTCCATTAGCAAAAAAAGTGAAGAGGTGGCGTTAAGTGGAACATTTTTCCACAACTAGAGATGAAACAAATTAGGTAAGTGTGCTAAGTCTTTTCAAAGATAGGAGGTAAATGGTGTAACCCCTCCATATGTACCCCTTGCCTTCTAGCCCCATGTTGTTTTTGTAATAACATTTCTTGTGAGATAATTGTCTTTCACTTGTGAGATAATTGAGATAATTGTCTTTCACTTGAATTATGCCTGTGGAAATCTAAGACAGTGGTCACATTGCGGAAGGCATTGTTTCTAGGTGGAGGGAAGGGTGGGGCTGTTGGCTGACTTACTCATGGCCATAAGAAAGGCAGCATGACACAACCTCCCTAAGAGAAGAAAGCTCACTTGTTCAAAAGGCAGAACGACAACCTGTGAGGAAATATACCAGAGAGGAAAGCTCAGGAGAAGAAGGAGATTATCCAATTTCTCCTTGTTTTCTCAAGTGCTTTGCCCATCCTCCCCTACTCCAAGGATGCGAACCTATTGTCAGCCTTAAGGTTCACCGTGTGGGAAGGACTCCCACACGGAACAGGACTCCCAGATGGAACTTGAATCATAAAAAGGAGAAAAAAAATTTTCAGGGTGACCTCCACCCTCATGGAGACAACAAGGACATTCAGGAGGAGGTAGGAGGAATCACTTCCATGTTCAGAGTTGAGGACTCATCTCCCTGTCACTTAAGATATAGTTTAGGTTCAGCTCAATGGTGGATTTTCACAGGGAGCAACAGAGTGCCAGACAGAGTCCCCTTTGGGGTGACCAGTCTCATCTGTTTATATTCCACCCCTTATGTTCTGTGCTGTAGCCCAAAGGTACTATGTTTACACACTGCTCTTTTCCATTGAAGACGCTTCCTTCTCTCTATCAAATGCATACTCATTTTCTAGTACTTATTTCAGGCTTTTCCTTTCTCCAGAATACTGCCTGTCTCTCTGAGTTTCAGTTTGGTTCCTTTTCTGTTTCCCTGTGGTACCCTATACTTCCCTGCAACATTCCACCTGTCACACATCTTGATTTTTCTGTCATTCTTAGTGGGCTGTGAGCTACATGAGGGTAATGGCAATGTCTTCTATCTCTGAATCTCCAATTACAGCAGCATCTGGTACATAATAAATATGAAGCAAAAGTTGAATGACTTTACTGACAATAGGCAATTTCTATAGAAGCTGGAGGGAGCGGAGACTCTGAATGAATCCTCGGGGAGAAAGACCACAGAACTCTTTTATCCTAGAAAAAAGCTCCAGACATTTTCCTGTCTGGACCTGTGGGACCCACAGGAGAGAAATTGTAAGTAAAGAATCTAATGCTTGCTGAGAACAAAGACTGTTGGGGTGTGCTAGAGAACAATAGGGTTGGCCGGGGATGGTGGCTCACACCTGTAATTCTAGCACTTTGGGAGGCCGAGGAGGGGCAGATCACTTGAGGCCAGGAGTTCAAGACCAACCTGGCCACGATGGCAAAACCCTGTCTCTACTAAAAATACAAAAATTATCCAGGTGTGGTGACACGTGCCTGCAGTCCCAACTGCTCAGGAGGCTGAGGTAGGAAAATCGCTTGAACTCAGGAAGTGGGGGTTGCAGTGAGCCAAGATCATGCCACTGCATTCCAGCCTGGGCAACAGAGTGAGGCTCCATCTCAACAACAACAACAAAAGAGAACAATAGAGCTGACAGAGAACCATGGTCTTAAGATCAGTTCTTACGTTTTGCATGGCTAAAGGTGTAAGAATTAAAGAAAGAAGAAAGAAACATGAAAGGTGGCTTGCCAGTCAAGACAGGTTTATTTTACAGAAAACAAACCTGAGAGGAGCTTCTGGTCAAGTTAGGTCAGAGGCACACTCTCTTACAGACTAAGAGTTTTTAAGAATTCGGGGTGGGAGAGTTTATCAGAGGATTGGCCTGCTTCTGTGTCTCTGTTGTGCTTATCTGGGAGGGACAGTTTTGTGTCTGTTCCCATACATCTTTCTGTAGCTGCAGGCATACTCCTGAGTGTGCTTTTAGCTTCCCTATCTTAGTGCACCTGAAGGGAAAGAAAGGTGCTTATTAAGGCCCACCGTTTTACTGTGGCCCATTATATGAGGGTGAAGTTTGGCAGTTACCCAAAAGAATTTCCTTTCACCTCCCTCTGTTCCCAAACTGTCTTATCTGTGTTTTACTGTCTGCTCTCCCTGGCTGCTTGTAGTTAGAAGAGAAGTGATTTCTTTGAAATGCATGAGGCTAGAAAGGGAGCTGGAACTTAAAGGGGCAGTGTTTGTCCAAGATGATGGTGCTCCTGCTCTGTCAAAAGGGAATAAGGATTCTCCTGATACCTGAGGCATTTTTAAACAAGCCTATAATTGACTTGATTTTTCTAACTGGTGGCGGTCCTCAGAACTGCGAGGACTTGAATTGAAGAATAAGAATCAAAGAATAAGAACATAATTTGTTATTTTATTAACAGTTACAGTCAGAAATTCATAATTTAGCTCTGACATATGTCTGACGGGGTTTCACCATGTTGGCCAGGCTGGTCTGGAACTCCTGGCCTCAAGTGATCCACCCGCCTCGGTCTCCCAAAGAGCTGGGATTACGGGTGTGAGCCACTGCGTCCTGCCAAAAAGGGTAATTTTATATCATTTCATTAGGTATACTGATAGTCTAGATTCCTGTGATTCATTGCATAGTTGGACAGTTAAAGCACAAATTGATAATCTTCCAAGGGTAATGGCAAGCCAAGCCTAGATTCTGGCGTCCTAACTTATAGCCAGGGGCTTTCTCTGCCACATAATTTTTAAGTTAAGTGCTAGAAACTCTTAAATTCTTTGCACTATTATATCATTTGCTTCTTACTGTATTTCACAACTGAGGAGCACAGAGAGGGTAAGTAACCTTGCCAAGGCTACTCAGCCAGTAAGTGGAGATGCAGGAATTTAAAACTAGGTAGTCTGACTCCAGTTCTGATCCCGGTTGAATGGTGATCATATTCTTCACAAAATCGTTTTTCAGATATTTTTGTCCAATTCAGATGCTCAGTGATATTGTTATTACAATAATGAGGTGTCTTATTTAAGATCTGAGAACAGGAGATGTGAAGATTGAGGAGATGGAGGCCCCTGGCATTTTCATACCTAAGTTTTGTTACCCTTTAGAGAAAATCTTCTCCAGTGCTAAAATCAATCAGATGATGACCTGAAGTGCTTCAGATCTTAACAGGACCTGCAATTGGAAAAACTGGGGATATGTGTCCCATACCATGATAAAGTAAGTTTCAGGATTGTAAGCAGAGGACCTGTTCTTACCAGGACCATGTTTTTGTTGTTGCACAGGTGGAAAAGATAATGACTCCTGATGGGAACCAGAGTAGTGATGCAACAGAGTTCGTCCTGGCAGGGTTCCCACATCTCAACAACACAAAAGTGGAATTATTTTCTGTCTTCCTTCTTGTCTATCTTCTGATTCTGACAGGCAATGTGTTGATTGTGGGGGTGGTAAGGGCTGATACTCGACTACAGACCCCCATGTACTTCTTTCTGGGTAACCTGTCCTGCCTAGAGATTCTGCTCACTTCCGTCATCATTCCAAAGATGCTGAGCGATTTCCTTTCAAGGCAACACACTATTTCCTTTGCTGCGTGTATCACCCAATTCTATTTCTACTTCTTTCTCGGGGCCTCTGAGTTCTTACTGTTGGCTGTCATGTCTGTGGATCGCTACCTAGCCATCTGTCATCCTCTGCGCTACCCCTTGCTCATGAGTGGGGCTGTGTGCATTCGTGTGGCCTTGGCCTGCTGGGTGGGGGGACTTGCCCCTGTGCTTGGTCCCACAGTGGCTGTGGCCTTGCTTCCTTTCTGTAAGCAGGGTGCTGTGGTGCAGCACTTCTTCTGTGACAGTGGCCCACTGTTACGCCTGGCATGCACCAACACCAAGAAGCTGGAGGAGACTGACTTTGTCCTGGCCTCCCTTGTCATTGTATCTTCCTTGCTGATTACTGCTGTGTCCTACGGCCTCATTGTCCTGGCTGTCCTGAGAATCCCCTCTGCTTCAGGCCGTCAGAAGGCCTTCTCTACCTGTACCTCCCACTTGATAGTGGTGACCCTCTTCTATGGAAGTGCCATTTTTCTCTATGTGAGGCCATCGCAGAGTGGTTCGGTGGACACTAACTGGGCAGTGACAGTAATAACGACATTTGTGACACCACTGCTGAATCCATTCATCTATGCCTTACGTAATGAGCAAGTCAACGAATCTTTGAAGGACATGTTTAGGAAGGTGGTGGCAGACTTTTTAAGGAATCTTTTACTTGATAACTGTCTCAATGAGAAAGCAGTAATGTGAGAGTGAAGAGACTGGTAACTAGTCTTTTTTTTTTTTTAGAGAGAAAGTCTCACTCTGTCGCCCAGGCTGGAGTGCAGTGGCACGATCTTGGTTCACTGCAACCTCCACCTCCTGGGTTCAAGCAATTCTCCTGCCTCAGCCTCCTGAGTAGCTGGGATTACAGGTGCCCACCACCACACCTGGCTGATTTTTGTATTTTTAGTAGAGACAGGGTTTCGCTCGATGGCCAGGCTAGTCTGAAACTCCTGGTCTCAAGTGATCCACCCACCTCAGCCTCCCAAAGTGCTGGGATTACAGGTGTGAGCCACCATGCCTGGTCTTGTTGGCATTTTTAAAAATCATATTTTGAAATCCAGACATTCTCATTAGCATGCTCCTTTCCATCATCATTATGGACATCACCAAAAGACTGAATTCTGGAACTACTAATGAATTACCAGGTCATCAATTCACACTTCTTCTCTTTCAGGCAAAATTTCTTGATCCTAGATCATACCTAATAATAATAATGCTTATTATTATTATTATTATTGATATATCGTGATCAATATCATCAACACTTCCTAAGACCTTCCAACCTGTGAGTCTTAACCTAAGAGTCCATGGTCATGTAGGGAATCTAAGGATGGGTTTCAGAAAATGTATATGCCTGATAGGTATCTAAATTTTATGTGCTTGAATATATATGCATTTGTTTGAGAAGAGGAACCACAGCTTTAATTCAACATTTAAATCCATGTGTGCACTCTCTTCAAAAGCGAGAAACTGATTGAGAGTCTAAGTAGAGCCTTCCAACTGTTTATGCAAATCAAGAATTTTAAGAAAAACTTCCTTACAGATATAAAATGAAGTAAAAATAGATTATCTGTATATTTTTGTGTATACTTTTTAGAAAGATTTACATTTACTACTAGAGGAAACAGAGGTGAAGCAAATTTAATAAAGGGACTTAATTACTTCTCTATGGTAATTCCAGGTGCCTTTGGAAAAGCAGATCAATGAGGGATTTCTTGAATATAGCCTTTACTGTATTCTTCTGGTGTGCACTTTATTACAGTGATAAAGACATCTCCACTCATTTTCTCATTGGATTATGTTTCATTCATTTGTTCATCTTTTTACATTCTTGTTCTGTTGTGTTAAATCTTCTTTTGTTTTTGGTAAAATCAAGATTGGAAAAAGGAGCTTTCATATTAAAGAGTTAAGAATGCCACATAGACTGGAAGTGGTGGCTCACGCCTGTAATCCTAGCACTTTGGAAGGCCGAGACGGGTGGATCATCTGAGATCAGGAGTTCGTAGACCAGTCCGGCCAACATGGCAAAACCCTGCCTCTACAAAAATGCAAAAATTAGCTGGACGTGGTAGCGGGCACCTGTAATCGCAGCTACCGAAAAGGGCAATTTTATATAATCTCATTATATAAGGAGGGAGGAGAATCACTGAACCCAGGGGACGGAGGTTGCAGTGAGCAAAGGTCGTGCCATGTCACTCTAGCCTGGGCGAAAGAGCAAAACTCCATCTAAAAAAAAAAAAAAAGAAGAATACCAAATATTGTTGTATCTACCAAGAACCAAACTTTGCAGTAAATTTTATCTGCTTTATTGGACATTTGAAAAGGGAATGGGGATTCCTATTCATGGTGCCTTTGGAAATCTTAGAAACAAATATTTATTTATTCATTTCTTCATTCAGTAAAGGTCTGTGAAGAATCTTTGTTGAACACTGTGATATACGAATATATGCTAAGATGAACAAGAATAATTTGTAACCTCAAGCCGTTTGAACTTTAGAGGGGAGAACTAAGGGACAGATAACAATTTAAGGGAATGTGGATGATAAGGAGGTTTACAAAAGCTACAAAACTGGCAAACTGAGTATTAGCATCAAGAGTTAGCCACAGGCGTCAGTGGGCATAGAAAATAGAAATGTTTTTATCTGGTTCTATTCGTAACGCATGCAAACACACTAGATAATTTTATTCCAAAATATTTCTGAGTATTAAAGAAATGGAAAGAATGATTGATTCAGAGGGTGAAAATAACTCTTCTGGAGTGATCTAGAAGTGTTGCCCAGAGAGGAGATGAAATAGTGCCTTAAAAATTACCTAGTTTCATGAAACATAAAAATCTGAAGTCCATTCCAGCCACTGGGCAAGGAAAGGAATTCATGTAACAATTTATAACATTTCTTGAAGTAATTGCCCCATATTATGGCAATAAAGCATGTTAAACCACCCATTTTCAACATGTGTTTCATTGTGAAAAATAACTTTGGGCTCAATTTAATTCAATAAAATTTGTTAAATACCGTGTTCTAGGAAGTAAGTTGGTATGTTAGAGGTACAAATATTGGCCTTTGCCATCAAGGAATGCATAGACTTTTAGGGTAGACGTAATACATGTGAAAATATAAATATATAATTTTTTTTCTGTTTTTGAGACGGAGTCTTGCTCTGTTGCCCAGGCTGGAAACCAATGGCATGATCTCAGCTCACTTCAACCTCTGCCTCTGGGATTCAAGTGACTCTCCTGCCTCAGCCTCCTGAGTAGCTGGGATTACAGGCACCCCCCACCAAGCCCGGGTAATTTTTGTATTTTTTAGTAGAAATGGGGTTTCCCCATGTTGGTCAGGCTGGTCTCGAACTCCTGACCTCAGGTGATCCACCCGCCTCGGCCTCCCAAAGTGCTGGGATTACAGGCATGATGAGCCACTGCCTCTGGCTCATAAATACATAAATATATGCATACACACACATCTATCTGTCTATCAATCAATCGATCTATCCATCTACACATATGGGACTGTGGGCTAAAATGTAAAATATAGTAAGACTTCTTTTTTCTTTCTTTCTTTTTGTTTTTTTTTGAGACAGAGCCTTGCTCTTTGCTCTTGTCACCCAGGCTGGAGTGCAATGGCGCGATCTTGGCTCACTGCAACCTCCGCTTCCTGAGTTCAAGCGATTCTCCGGCCTCAGCCTCCGGAGTAGCTGGGATTACAGGCGCCCGCCACCATGCCCAGCTAATTTTTGTACTTTTAGTAGAGGCAGGGTTTCGCCATGTTGGCCGGACTGGTCTCGAATTCCTGACCTCAGATGATCGGCCCGCCTCGATCTCCCAAAGTGCTAGGATTACGGGAGTGAACCACTGCGCCTGGGCCAAGACCATTTAAAATTTAAAAGTGACTCTAAGAAGATGTAATTATACTAACAAGGCATAAGATAATTGAACATGATTATGAAGAGAAATATCGCAATAAAAACTATACCAGGGAGCAAAATTTTAAAAAGTATGAATACTTTGTAGTGTATCTGAGAAAGTAAATTTGGATCCATTTTTGAGAAGATAAATGTGACTATAAATTTATATAATGAACTAATTATTATACCGTGGACATAGGGGAAAAAGATTACTAAAAAAGTAAATGTTAGCCGGTGACGGTGGCTCACACCTGTAATCCCAGCACTTTGGGAGGCCAAGGCAGGCAGATCACAAGGTCAGGAGTTTGAGACCAGCCTGGCCAACATAGTGAAACTCCGGCTCTACTAAAAATAAAAAAATTAGCTGGGCATGATGGTGAGTGCCTGTAGTCCCAGCTACCTGGGAGGCTGAGGCAGGAGAATCTCTTGAACTCGGGAGGCAGAGGTTGTGGTAAGCTGAGATTCCTCCACTGTACTCCAGCCTGGGCAACAGACCCAGACTCTGTCTCAAAACAAACAAACAAACAAACAAAAATACAAAAATTAGCTGGGCGTGGTGGTGCGTGCCTGCAGTCCCAGCTACTCAGGAGGCTGATACAGGAGAATCGCTTGAACCTGGGAGGCTGAGGTTACAGCGAGCCAAGATTGTGCCACTGCACTCAAGTTGAGCAACAGAGCAAGACTCCGTCTCAAAAAAAAAAGTGTTTTACTTTACCAAGATTAAGATGGATCTGGCGAAATTAGCCATTCCCCTGATATAAAAAATGTATTAGTTTAATAGTACATTGACTAATCAGATTGGTAATCACAGAGTTTCTCGAATTTCTTTTTTTTTTTTCAGAGATGGAGTTTCCCTCTTGTTGCCCAGGCTGGAGGGCAATGGCATAATCTCAGCTCATCGCAACCTCCACCTCCCGGGTTCAAGCGATTTTCCTGCCTCAACCTCCCGAGTAGCTGGGATTACAGGCATGTGCCACCACACCTGGCTAATTTTGTATTTTTAGCAGAGACGGGGGTTTCCCCATGTTGGTCAGGCTGGTCTTGAACTCCCGGCCTCAGGTGATCCGCTTGCCTCACCCTCCCACAGTGCTGGGATTACAAGCGTAAGCCACCGCACCCGGCTTCAATTTTCTATAAAAGTACCATGACAAGCGCCTTTATTCAAACTATTATATGAAATAAATTTGCCTGAAATTTGGTATGATGGTATGTGTGGATTGAGTGCGCATATGAGTGTGTGCTTGCATATAACAGTGATACAAACTTGTGTGTCCATTAAAGTTTGTGATTAAATAAAAGAATAAATAAAAATCTGTTTATTGATTTTTTTTCTAAGCTTTCCTTTCTAAGATCTTACCTTCATTGACATGAAATTTGTATTTTGTTTTTAAATATACAGTTAAGACAGAATATACTTAGTTTAGAAGTAGTAGAAAATGCTTCTGTTTGCATTATTTCACATATAAAACTCTTAATAAGGCCAGGTGCAGTGGCTCATGCCTACAATCCCAGCACGTTGGGAAGCCAACAAGGGGGATTGCTTGAGCCTGGGAGTTCCAGGCTGCAGCGAGCCATGATCGCATTACTGTACTCCAGTCTGGGCTACAGGGTGAGACCTTGTCTCAAAAATTAAATAAATAAATAAAACTCTTAATGACATCATCGATTATGACAATGATGCTTAACTCAGCAAGCTTATTTTACTCTTTATACTTAGCAGAGTTTGGCATGACTGATCTTGTCCTCTTGCTTGAAATAGTGTGTTCTACTTATTAGAACACACTATTTTTGTTATTTATTTATTTTATTTCAATTGTTTTAGGAGAACAGGTGGTTTTTGGTTATGT